TTTAACTCTTAGTGAGTCACAGTGGCTAAATGTGCATTTAGAAATTCAAAACAAGAACCATTTTTTGTAAGTTTAGAGACTGACATAGGAGTAAAGATATTTCTCCAGATATAATCAGTGAGTCAGACAACCTGTTTAACTGGCCATTTTGGAGGCAATTCCGAGTTGTTGTAAAAAAGCCTTAGCAAAGACCATATGAAATGGATAAGGTTTTTTTATCAGATTTCCTTTTACCTTACTCATTTCCCTCTTATGAGCTGAATACTGGTGCTTCGGGGATCATGAACTTGAGACTACATATGATGTCCTTTAAAGCCCTTCCACAGTAAATATATATATATATAGAGAGAGAGAGAGAGAGAGGGATATGAGGTGCACTTCTCTCTGACTTGTGTAGTCTAAGGCTGGTTGAATTTCTGAGAAATCCCTTCCCTGGACTTGAGCGTCATGGCCTTGCTAAGCAGAGGTGGGCCTGAGAGGGGCAAGTGCAGCTCCCCTGATTGCTGCGGCATCGCAGCTGCTTTCAGGACCCCTGAGCACTGGACCCTCCCTCCTCTGCAGAAGAACAGTGTCTGGGCTAGAGGGCACTCTCAGAAACAGCAGATGGCAATTTCTGGAAAATCAACACAGGCGACTCGAATCAAATCCTGTCCATTATAACCCCATTGCTGCTATTCAAGTTGCCACACATTTGGGTTTTTGTTTGCTCACTAGCTTGTCTTTTAGTATTGCTGCTTCCATGGGATCTTTCAGAAGCATTAAAGGAAGAAAGTGCACCATACTGTCTGTGCTTTGAATATGCCTACAAGTAAGTCTAGGTAATATAGAAGACAAGCACGCCTTGGTCTCCTGATGAAAATGAGCACCCTTCTGAGCACGTGCAGCTCCTGCTGTTCTCTGCTGCCTGCTTGGAGCACCGTGGGTCTGTGCTGCGGGCCCTGGGTGTGCAGCAGGCCTGCCCATGGGAGCAAGGTGATAAGTGCTCATGGGGACGTTTGTCCCAGTGCTGCATTAGACCTATGTTGCTCATAAACCTGTATCAAATTAGTAGTGATTAAAAAGCAATTAGCAAGACTTTGGTCTTCGTGCAAGTCCACATTTTAGCCAATGACAGGCTCTATCAAAGTTACAAGTGAGCAGTGTGTTTTAGGTCTAGCCTTTAATATCAAAATTAGTCTCTGCTTTATTCTGTAAAAGCTTTGATCAACCTGAAACAACCCGTTACGACTGTGTCTACATAATAATCTGCATAAAAATTTGACTGCTTCCAAAGTGAATTTCATGTCCTTCTAAGTGCTTTTTTAAAAATATTAATTCTGATGGAGTTCACATTGTGCTTGGTACACAGTGTGGCAGTTCAGGACTCTTTTCAATTTCACGCATTCTGCATTATCAGATAAGAGACAAAGATTGGCTTTAAAGAGGTTTGTGGGAGGTAGCATTTAATTTATTTTGTGACCCAGTAGTAATTCTGTATTTGGCAAATGCATAAAGGTGAAAATGAGAAAGCATAGAGGAAGACTCTTAGTCTCTTCAAAAATCATCATCTCAAGCCAATAAAATTGTTCTTAAAAATGTAAACAAATTGCTCCTATAAAATGGAAGCAATTCACAAGGCGGTTGTTTTCTTTAAGTCTCAGTTGCCTGTGTTGTATGATTGACACAATTGCCCCAAGCCCTAATAAATGAACTCAGAATGCTGAAATTCATCTAGTTGACTTCCTCTGCAGTGTGACATTTCCTGAGCAGTCATTTCATAATTATGCCAAAGGGTTAAACTAAAATGCACAAGGAGTCATTGTGCACTGATGTAAAACAGTATTTCAAAAGGAGGAATTCCTTGCTTTCCCTTCACATTCTACCTGCTTAGTATTTCTCCTTCTGGATATGTTTCCTGCCCATGCCTTAGCAGGCAGAGCAGCTTGTGGTAGATTCTTACTAGATTAAACTTTGTTTTAATGGTAAAAAATTATGGTGAGATGTTTACAAAAGCATTATGAATTTTGGTGAGACTGATTCCTTGCATTCTTTTTAGCATTTCACACTAGTTTGGGAATAATACTGAGCTTTCTAAAGCAAGATGCATAGGAGATGCTGCAATGATGCCCACAGCTACAGTGATGCCAAATCAAAATGTGGTCCCAAGCCAGCCTTTATGCTTGCTTTGGTGCAGCAATGTGCCAGCTGACTGCCATGTGCCTAAAACAAGAACTAAACTCCCTTAGTCCTTGGCTTTCTAACTCCATCGATTTGTGACTCTGGTATCCTGTTTGTGTGAAAAACTGATAGAAATTGTTTCTCCATTGCTTCTACATTAGAGGGGCATCAGCATGCCTCACTGCTCTCTCACTTGTATTTTATGCAGCATTGGCAGTTGCTAATCTTGATAGAGACTCATTTACATTCTTGTTACCATGAGGTGGAGAGGATAACATAAAGCCAGAGACTGGCAACGTTGGCAGGGCACAGTTGCAGATACAGTGGGCAGGTTGGATGGGCACTGTGTTTGCTGCTAATGTCCCTCTGCTGAGCAACCGAGCCAGAAACTGCAGAGCCAAAGCTACTCTAGTTGATACCTCACTGTGACTGATGCACAAGTGCTCACTTACTGGGTGTTTCCAGTTAATGTCTTATGCTGTGGGTTTACTCCAGAGATTTCAGATCTTAGAAGGGGCTGTGTTTCACATCATGTAAGAAAATGTGTCACATTTTTACTTAAAAACTTAGTTCAGATGGCAAATGAGATCTGTCCTTTAAGCTACTTGGCATCACGGCACTAGGTAGCAGGAGATTTCACATTCCTCTTAATGTAGTCAAATCCTAGCTCGTGCAGTTTTTATCTGTGATGACAACATGCTGTTGGATCATGTTCAATTTGGCATCCATCACAACCCCCAGTCTCTCTCAGCAGAGCTGCTACTGGGCCAGTCGACTCCTAGTCTCTGCTGACACATGAGCTATTCCTTGCCGTGTGTACTAAAGTTGTCAAGTATGGTGTCACAGAAAATCTGCACTCAGCTTATGCTGATGATGCTACCAGGCTCCTCCATTATCCATTCCGGTGGCTGTTGCAAAGCACCTTTCCGCACCTTTCCCTTGCTTCTTTGCAGGGGAGGCTGGCACTCTTGAACTGGGACTTTTTGTTGTTGTTGTTTTGTTTTTGTTGTTGTTTGGTTGGTTTTTGTTCGGATGTTTTTGCCAGAACACATTTTGCAGTAAGTAGCCTATATATCTTGAGCCAAGTACCAAAATCTGACCCCAAAGCTGGGCATCACCTTGTGATTAGCACTTCTAAGCCTTAGCACTGAAAAGATTAAATCATGTAGTCACTGTGTGTTTCATGTACCAGAAGTCACAATTTAGCTGGGCGAGAAATTAGTCTTTGTAACCCTTGTGTTAAAACAATTTGGGGCTGTAAAGTAACTTGCTCTTCTAAAATAAATGATTGCTTCCTCTTCTAAAACAAATGATTGAAACTTTACTTACTGACTTGAAAATACTTAGCTCTAACCTGGTGCTCCTCTTGCTGGCATACTATGATCAAGACAGATAAACTGTAGGGTCATTTTCGAAAGGCTGCAAGAAACAAGCTTCTGCATGACACATTTAATTTGTTTCTTGGTCTCTTTTGCATGGTTTGTTACTATCTAGCAATTCTAAATCAGGCCAGCTAGAACTTCATGTGGGAAAACTTACTACTAAGTTTTATTTTTACTCTTATTGCTTAAACTATTGAGCTTGAACTGTGAACTTGCTGTGGCCCTGCTTGTAACCATGGAAAGAGTTCCCTATTTCACTTAGCTTGTTAGAGACCTTCCTTACCTTGAACTGTCAATGACAGATGTTGATAAGAGCCCAGATAAAAATGCAAGGATGCTTCCCCCTTGCCCAGTACAGCATACCTGAACTTCTCTGCAGGTGACTGCATAGAAACTACATTATCCAACTGCTATATTCTCTGTTTCCATATGCTGTCAGTAATCATTTCAGTGTAGGATTATAACACATATGTGTGTTTAGCATTTTAAGGAGGTACTCACTGGAGATTTTTAAGTCATTACTAAGTTCAACAGTATTGTTAAAAGGCTTATAAGTAAGTTTTTGTTAGTTTGACTATCCTACTGATTTCTAAAGAGTAAATCTTGATTTTGATTTATGTGGAAAATGTAAGAATCCAAATCAGGAAATATTGTTCAGGAAAATCTGTGAAAGAAAACATAGGGCTTCTTATCCTGCCTTATTCCCCCATTCAGCCATAGAGGTAGGTCAGGTGCTTATAAGCTGGCCTAATGCTGCTGCGTTGCAGCTCGGCTTAACTCCTTCTCTTTGTCTTTTACGTTTGCACAAATGAATGGGCAGGAAGAGGGCAAAGCAGAGTAGGATAAGAAGCTGTAGTGCTTTCCCAGCTGCTCACTGGCCAGAGAAGTTATCTGGGTGCAGGAAAGTGAAGCAATTCACTGTCAGAAAGAGCTGAGTGCCGTGGTGCTGGGAGTCTCCACCTGGCATTTCACTTTGGAACTGCTTTTTTTTTTGGGTGTTGTAGCTCTTTCCTGTGAAAGAAAAACTGTACTGTCTGCCTCTTCTTTAGTCCTTATTTTGTAATACTCTCACCCATTTGCACATCTGTTATGTGCTGCAGTATAAACTGCCTCATAACATACAGCCAAAATGAACTAGTCTTTTTAATTCAGAAATCACTCAGAGCCTCCCTTCTGCCTCAGTGTTACTTTGATATTTATTTGGTGAATTAGACTATAATCCAGGTTGCATGTTAACAGTCCTTAACCTCATAAAAACAATATTTGATGCCTTCTACTTCATTTGCAATTCATATGCTGTGTGATGACTTGCTATAACAATTTATACTGATGAAAATTACCCGTAATGAAAACTATGTCTGTGCAAGCATTGGGCAATTCAGGGAAAGCATTATTGAAAATAAACATTTATAATTACCTACTGCTAAATAAATAATCTAACATCCTCTCCTACTTTTAAAGGGTGAACCAGGTTTTATTGGTCCGCAAGGAGAGCCTGGGTTACCAGGGCTGCCAGGAACGAAGGTAAGGTTATTTGGCAGATGCTTTGCCCTAGAGGCAAAGTCAAATTCAACTTGCTTGGCATGTAGCAAAGATTGTGTCTGTGCTAGTGGTATAAGAATTTCTCTGAATCCATTTTTGTAAATGCCCTGGAAAGTTTAGAGTTCAGGGTAAAATGAAGTGCTTGAAAAAGTGAAAAGTCATAGTTCATGGATTAGCAAACATTTTCTTTTCTAGTGATGCCCTCAAAAAATGTGAGCACAGATGCTATATCCATTTCTGACTTGTTTAAGTTCATTGGTTACTTCTGTTTAATGTCAGGCATCCCAGAAGTGAGACGTGAGGCAGCTGTGACTGTCTGACGAAGCTCTATTTCCATAATCTTGTTAAAAAAGGCCGCGGGAGTGTATGCAGATATTAGAACACTGACGCCACACACTTTACTTAGAAAATACATGTTTTCTTCCGGGGAGTTTGTTTCTTTTACCACATTGAGTTAGTTGTGTACTGAAGACAGTGCAGTTTTGGGTCATATTTTATATCTACTGCAACAGGGTGACAAAGGGGATACAGGCCCTTCTGGAAAGGGTGAGCGAGGTGACCCTGGAGTTCCTGGACCAAAGGTCAGTCTGATTTTTACACTGGAAATGTTTTGTTAATTTTCAATCTGTGAACACATCTTTTTTTGCTGGAAAACAAATAGAAACCTGGTGAGTGAGCTTTTAATGGTAATATAGTCAATTATCACAATTTAGTCCAGAAGGCAATGGCAGTTTTGTGTTCACAGCTGTAGAATTACAATCTAAATGAACTCTGTTGTTGGTCTACAAAGTAAAGACACTACTCACGTAAACCGTCATGGAGTTGACCTAATTTGTAGTGCTCGCACTTTGAGCATGGAAGTCTGAACACCTTGACCATTGTGGCTCTCAAGTGGAGTGCAGAGAAGATCCATTTTACATGCTGCTTTCTAATTCTGTATAAGAGAGATCATACTAGCTACATTTCAGTGTTTTCTTAATGTTTTTCACTATGTAGCTACTATCAGGCTTTACTTTCCTAACACAACCTGAGAACCTTAAGGCCCTCCAGCCAGTTAGCTTATTTTTAATTGGAGCTTATGGGGAAAAAGCACGGTAATATTTTAATCTTCTTATCTTAGGATATTTAACTATCTTATCTATTATTTATTTATAGTATTTCAGGAGCTATGGAATGAATGTGGCTCATTCCTGCAAACGAGTGCTCATGATATCTACTGACTATTAATTCCAATGCTGCTTTCCTTTTGAAGGATGGAATCTGTGGCTTGTGCATGCTGATATGAAGGGATCTGTCACTCTAGAGGCTATTAAATTCAGGGCCCTTTCAGATTCATGATCTTGATCATGTGAAATGAAGTGTTTGATCCTCCTGATTTGTACTGTAGTTCATTGTTACCAATTTCTTTTTCTTTGCACTCTCATTCTTCTATCATCTTCCTCTTGTCCATCTTCCTTCAAACAGGGGAGAACAGGTGAAGCTGGATCTAGAGGCCCCAAAGGGTCAAAGGTCAGTAGTAACAACTCTGTCTTTACTGCAATAACTAACTGAGTGGTATCTGTGATTGAGTAACTTGTAACATCTTACAGGAGCTTCACTTATCTTAAAAATACACTGTAACAGTTCTGCAAACTACAGATGCAGTTTTCCTTATAAAACAAAACATTCTGGCTTTCAGTTTTAGCTGTTGGAATCAAATCCTGTGTATTTCAAACACTGTGATTATAATTTTTCTGATTATTGTAACAACTATTCCTTTGTTTGCTCTGTTTTTCCCCATTCTGCTTAGTTTGTCAGTGGGTAATCTGTGCAGGTTAACCCACCCAAGTGCCTCGATCAGCTCCTGACTGTGCCTGTGGAGCATAAATAAAATTCCCAGGAAGCTCATGAGCAGATTATCACATCAGAGAGAGCAAAGGAGTAAAGGAGTCTCTTAGTAGCCTCCAGTTCCTTGGCACCTCCCAAACACACCAAAAGGATTCCCTTTGTATCAGAAAAGACATACAATTTTTCAGGAGGTCTGCCTGCATAACTACCTCGAAAATCTGGCCCACAGAAGTCAGCCTAGTAGTTAGGAACTTTATTTTTGAGCAGCTCCAATGCCATGTATGCCTCCTGCTGCCCAGACAACACTGAAAGGAAAGATGGATGGCATCAGTTTGATTATGTCTTGCCATCAGTCTCCTTTCCTTCATTGTGTCCATGAAAACTTTCTATTTTCATTTTTTTCTGTTAACCAGAAGATGAATTAGTCATTCTCCCCCAGGATATACCAAATGTTCTTAGATCTCAACAGGAGCCAAAGTAGTAGCTCTTAACTAAATTGTTTTTAAGTTAAATAAAAATATTTAAGTTTGCTATGAAATTTCAGAAGTGAAATGACGTCACTGAAAGCTGGGATATGAATACAAATATAAGTATATTTGAAATACCCTCCACTGCATGAAACGTACTGCTAGTAGCCAACAGGAAAAAGCTGAGAGCAAGATGGTAAACGTCCTAAGCCTACTACAGTAAAGGTGTAAAAGAATTCTTTAATGCTGAAAGCATTTGTAGTCTCAGAGCAATGAGGTTTAGAAACTTAGTCATGATAACGAGGTTTTTGCATTTAGAAACGTATCTTGGAAAAGTTGTTGAGTGATTTCAGACTTAGGCAATTGACTGATTTGATTTCTATAGCTTTCCCTTGAGGCTTTTGATAATGGTGGCATTAGGAATAGTGAAATTATGTAAATTATTAATTTTGTAGCCTGTTTTATGGGGAATTCTTTGATATTTTTTATTCTAGCCCAATACAGCACTAAGAATTCACAGAGAACCAAACATATGATTGCAAATACTACCTGCAGATTTTGAAGGAATTTATCTTATCATTAAGATCTACATTCTGTTAATGAAATGATGAGAGGCCCTTTAAACTAGATTATTTAAAACAAGCATATCGAAATGAAACAACTACCTAATATATTCTCAGACTACTACTTTGTCTTCAAATATCCTTTTTATATAGGGTGATACAGGTGGCAAAGGTGACACAGGATCTGTAGGTCCACGGGTAAGTCTAATTCTCATTTCAGCTCTTTGTTTTGTACTCTTAAATTCAGTCCACACTACAGATTGAAACTGTAGCAGCAACTCCAGCTAAACTGTCGGAATCAGTCACTTAACTCTGGTGGAATGTGTGTTGCTAGCTGGCACTTAATAACAGTCCTTCCTATTATTTGAAGTGGTGTCCTGCTCACAGTTCATGGGCAAGTGCTACTTGCCAGATGTTCTGACATTGCTCACAGCCAATATGAAACTGGAGTATTGGAACTGCTTAAATATTTAATCACAGTAATTTCATAGATTTGTGTTGCCTGCTGCATCCCAATGCACTGTGCTGTGACTTGCTTGTTTATGCCTATCTTTAAAATAGACTGTTTTGTCATAAAACAAGCTTGAGCTTCACGCTGTTTTGCAGTTTGTAGTAATACATTAAATGCAACAAAGATTCCAAGGCAGCACAATCAAGTCAAAGCATATGTGAGTAGTTAAGTGTCAGAAAGCAGCCCTTTCAATGCTAAGTCACGGCAAGCATAGAGAAAATATCATTGCAGTAACTATACTGAGGGAGGCTTTTTACTAGCAATCTGAGCTGCAGCAGGAAGGATCAACACTTTTTTCAATTCATGTATTCGTGTGCAGGCGAGCTATTTGTGGTTCTCAGCAGTGTAGAGAGAGCACAAATAAAAACTTGAACTCACATCTGAGAATATAGAAGTTCTGAAAATTCCTTAAAGCCCATATAAGTACGTTGGGCAGGACAGAACGGTCATTTAGGGTAATTCTTGGTTGCTGTCTTAAAAAAATTAATATGTGGTAATTTATTGCAGGGGCCACCTGGGCAGAAAGGTGACCAAGGTACAACGGAGATAATTGATTATAATGGCAATATCCATGAAGCTCTGCAGGTATGTAAACATAACCAGTCTGGAATGGCTTTGTCTGGTCTGGGGAAATGAAGTTTGACATCACTTTTTTTTTTTTTTTCTTCTGCGTAAGCCATGAAAGTACTGCGCACAAAGGTTTGCTGAGCTTATTAATGAGAAATTTCTTCCTATTTTTGGAAACCAGGTTTGCTGTTTGGTGTTAGACAAACTATTTCCTTGGTAAAATTTAACTGGGTGAATTCGTTTCATTTCCCCCAGAGCATACTGACCTCATGTAATGAGAACAGAGCTGAATCATTGCTGGCTGGTGCTCATAGAGTCTGGTGCTCACTGCTGAATTCGTGTAATAAACCACATACACAGATTCAGCAGAAGCGTCTGCTTTTCAGTTCAGGTAGTATAATATTGACATACCTTTTCTCCTCCTCCTCCTGAAAATGCAAAGAGCGTATTTGTGATCAGGAAGCCAGGTCACATGATGCCATTAGCAAGATGTGGATTCAATCGGCAGCCTGAGTAGAGAGGCTGAGCACTAGTGAGCTTGCTCACTTCCAGAAAACTAATTTTGACTTGTATGCAGAAAAGTGCGGAGGATTAAAGTAGGGTTAGAAAAAGAATGAGTGGATGTTCACATGAAAGCAGAGGAATGATTTACACTGCAGTAGCCTCACATGCAAATTCTGTGCAGTATAACGTCACCAAAATGAATGGGTTTACATATGTGCAACTGAAGACAGAAGTTGGACAGAAGTGTATATCTGATCATTCTCTCACTAAAGCTGTTGGTTCCCCCCCCCCCCCCCCATTTCCTAGGTGGAAGTGGATAATGTCTGGTCAAGCATTTGTTTTTTCAAGATTCTCCTGAAATTAAAAATTTTCACTGCCTTTACTAAAATCCCAAAGCCTGTATGTTGTTGTTAAGGCTAAGCCCACTCCTCCAATGTGTTCCTGCATGCCATGTGTGGGGGAGCCTACACAGGCAGTCTCTGAGGCTCTGTGTTTTATCCCTGTTCTCAAGTTTCAAGGGAATTCACCTACCTTTCAACTTTTAAAATCACTGTCTGAGTTAGATGCCTAAATTAGCCTGAAATTAATGTTACATATTATCCAGCACGGATTTAGCAGTGCTTTTAGCCCCCATAACTCCTGTATTCTTTCCTTCTACTTTAACACTGGCATCAGTATTACTCCCAAGTGCTGTGTAACAGCTTGTCAGAAAAGCTGCAGCATGTAGAGAAGCCTTAATAAGGGACTAATGCCTACTGCAGTGACTGAAACAGATGAGGAGGTCCTTATACCATCGTAAATCATTTCAAATGTCATTGCCTTCTGATCGAGGGCAGCAAATAATTGATACCGATGGGAATGGCTGTGCAAGGACAGTGTAAGTAAGATTGTATAGGATCAGTCAACAATGTGCTTGTCAACTCCAGCTCAGTCCTTTTGAATGGCAAGTACCCATTCCCAAGCCTCCTGCTGCCAAATTCTCAGAGGCTCTGGGATTTGCAGCTCTCCTGGAGAAGCTCATGAGAACTCTCAGTGCTCAGCACATCTCAGAAGTTGGCCAGTTGATTTAAGATGACGACAAGAGTTCGGAGGATCTGGGCTGTCTGTCTGCATTCTTAGAGAATTTAGTAATAAATCATCGAGCTGTGTAGGAGCTTTGGAACAATTCAGTTTCTCTGTTTTGTGCCTCCTGCAGACATCACAATATGCTGGGCAAGTTGTTTAAACATTTTAAAAGTGCGTGTGCACACATACACGTATATGATTTTGCTTAGTTAGTCAACTCTTACTTGACCCTCTAAATTTTATGAGAACCTTCATGTATGTAAAGTCCTCATTCCATACACAGAAGCCAAGCAGCTAGCACAGCACTGGGTGTTAAGAATAATGGGTTTTGCTTTGTTTTTTGGAGACATGATGTCTCACAGATGCAGCCTAAGTCTTGTGTTGATGACAGTTGTAATAAGCAGAATAATTTATATCCCTGTTCAATTCTGGTAATGGTGTCTCTCATTAATACATTTGCCAACAGAGGATTACCACCCTAACTGTCACGGTAACTCCTATTGCATGACTTGCTGTGTTTTGTAGAAGTTGTCTTTTGTGTTGTAACTTGTTCATAATGGTGCCAATTCAGGATGTATCTTCACTGAATGTTGACCCAGTTTATCATCAATTATATTTATTTGCTCACCTTTAACTGAGAATACACTGTCAAAAGCAATTCAACAGCAGAACCAGTGCTGCTCCT